CACACACACACACACACGTTTTCTCTTACTCAGGCTTGCATACGTACACAAGAAAGATGGATGAAACATATTATCAAGCAAGTCATGAACGACATTAATTAAGTACACTCTGACAGACAGACAGACAGACAGACAGACAGACAGACAGACAGACAGACAGACAGAAAAACCAAACACCAGTTCCATCAAGTCATGGCGTCAGCTAAATACACTCAGACAGAAAAACAGACAGACAGACATCGCCAGCAAAGAACATTCTGAAAAACAAACAGGTGGCGGTCGGACCCTACTCTTATCGAATTTGGACCACCAAGGGATCTTTAACGTGCAAAACTGGCAGAGGGGACATCCGAGATTTTTCGCCCGTGTCCGAGAAGGTAAGGAGTAGATCTTACCTTCCACAAAATCAGGGGTGTGGCTGAAAGACAGCAGTAACAAGGAGCCAAGACGAAGCAGTAAAAAAGCTGCAGAAAGAGTCAGTAGCCCAGAGGAGGGGCAAAGGAGGTGATTTAGCTTTAGTAAGTGTTTTACGGCACTTGCAACACAATAAGGTCATATAAGTGACGAAGATTAGAGGTGTTACAAAAGAGTAACAAACATAAAAAAGAAGGAGGGAAGAGAAAGACTATAGACGTTTGATAGGAAAAAAAGAAGCAAACCGCACGAGAGCACCCACCAACCACCCACTAAAGGTGGTGAGGGGGCTGGGGCAGAAAGTGGAGACGAAAGCAGACTGCAGAACATTGTTAGAGAGCAGAGAAGGATGTGAAAGGAGAACACTTTAGAGAGGTAAATTTCCCGTGGCTATCCGGATTCCAACCCGAGACCTATAGAATGACAGGCCACGAGAGCCGCCATGCACTTCTTCGAGAAAGGCCAAGGGAAAAGTCTGTCAATATGTCTAGACTTTCCTAATTTCCCCCTTCAGCACTACAATAATAATTATAAGTCGGGGAGAGACACGCTAAGGAAAAATTCCCCTCAAAGCGAGCCGTTCTTCTCATCTACCGGTGTTTTGCGTTTCTTTCCATCGAGCACACTTCAAAATACAAAACAAAAATATAATCTCTTGCCCAATTCCCTTCCCCGTCGGTTTCCAACCCATCTATATAGACACAATTCTTAGATATTTAGCAGGCGGGCTTCCTCGACCTTGACTGTACTGTTTCTGTCAACTCGGACTGAGTGGGGTACTACATCATCCCTTCACACCAATGGAGAGGCATAATAGAAAAACGAACAAACAAACTTCTCCACTCGGGAACGAACACATGTCTTCTGCATGCAAAAGGAAACAGCCTGCCCAGTCAGACTTTGAGGAGAGAGAGGTACGAAGTACGTGGGCACAACAACGCTTCTAAATTGCTGGTAGAAAAGCAAGACAGATAGACAGAGCAAAATATAAAAAAGGGCAAGTAAAAAAAAAAAAGAGTAAGAAGGAACTCCCCGGCGGCAACCTCCAGACTCCTGCAAGCCAAACCATTGCACCACAGACGCCGGTCAACTTCCCTGTTCTATAATTTACGGCAGGAGAAAAAAACAACAACAAAACAAAACAAACAAAACAAAAAAATCCCGCCCACCTTCCTGGAAGCTGCCTGGTTTGTTTTGGCTTGTGTTTTTGTTTTTTAAAGCAAAGCTAAGTACATCGACAAAAACCGTCAATTAGTACCAAAAAACAACCCCAAAAAACCGAACAGGGAGCAGACAGAAACATCCGAGGGGAAGAAGAAAAAAAGAGCAAGTAGTTGGTGCCCTTGTACTACTAGCACGTCCCTCAGCACTGCCAAGAATCCTAACATTCCGTGAAAGACGGACGGCACGAGCAGACACGACAAGAACAGAGGGCACAGCATGGGGGTCAGTTCAAAAGAAAACAAGAACAACCAAACAACAACGAAACAACAAAAATGAAAAAAAAAACCCTTAAACACACACACACACACACACAAAGAGAGAGAGAGAGAGAGAGAGAGAGAGAGAGAGAGAGAGAGAGAGAGAGAAAATGATGGCATTTGCAACACAAACACGAAATCTACGTGCTGCAGAATAGGTGTTACTTATTAGTACAATTCAAGGATAAGAAAGAGGGGATATATGCTTTAGTAAGTGTTTTACGGCACTTACAACCAACAGGGTCAAGTAAGTGCCAAAATTAGAGGTGTTACAAGAGAGTAACAGACACAAAAAGAAGGCAGGACGATAGATGTTTGGTAGGAAAGAAGGAGCAACCCAAACGAGAGCACCCACCAATCACCCATTCCAGCACCAACAACAACAAGATGAGCTACATTAACCGTAAAAAGAACGCCCTCCCCCCACAACAAAAACAAGAAACTAGAGACAAGCTGCAGCTTGTGTCCAAATACGGAGGGCACGGCGTATCTATCCTGTACAAAGGATCCAACACTTCAACAGTAGGAAGCAACAGCAACAACAACAACGACAACAACAACGTAGTCTGTACCCGCATTCCGAATGCCCAGATCTGCACTGCATACGTCTTGCACAAGTGGTACATCAGCATAACAAACAAAAAACCCAAAAAAAACCTACACCCGAACTCCAAAATCATCATCGTTATCAACAACAACAGCAACATGAACGACAACAACAACAGGGTCTGTACCTGCATGCCGAAGGCCCGGAGTATATCCATCTTGCACATAGGGCACGTCCTCTGATCCAGCAGCCACGGGTCAACACATGACTTGTGGAATACATGCCTGGATGGAGAGGAGAGAAATGGGATGGGAGTTGTAAGTCTTTGTAACAGTTTGTTTTAGGAGAGGTTTAGTTTAGTTTTAGGAGAGGTTTTACGGCACTCGCAACTGCATACGGTCATAGGAGCGCCAGAAGATTAGGTGTTACAAGAGAGTAACAAACATAAAAAATAAGAAGGGGAGATAAGGCATCATAAGGACGACAGATCTTCGATAGGAAAGAAGAAGCAAACCCCACAAGAGCACCCGCCAACCACCCACTAAGAGAGGTTTTACGGCGCCCGCAATATAAGGCCATAAGAGCGCTAAGGGGCGGATGTCAACAGAGGAGTCCTTACAGGGAATCAGGCTTACTCTGCTCACCTCTCTAGCTTCAACAGCACAAAGTCTGCTTCGACTATCAAGGCACCCCGGAAAAAGCGGGTCACAAGAGTGTGACAAACATACAAAAGAAGTAGAGGAAAATGACGATAGTAAGCATGAGTAGCACCGCCCTGGGGGGTCTAGATGTAGTAAAGTTTTATGGCACTTGTAACACATTAGGTCATAATTTAAGGAAAGAACATTAGGTGTTGTTAGAGTGTGACAGTTACCAATAAGAAGGAGGACAGATAAGGATGAATAATGTTTTTAGTTTTAGTTAGAGTTTTATGACACTTGTAACACAATACGGCGACATAATTGCCGACGATTAGGGGTGTTACAAAAGTAATAACAACCATGACATAAAGGAAGGAAGAGACACACGACGACAGATGCTTTATAGGAAAGAAGGAGCAAACTACATCAGAGCACCCGCAAACCACCCGCTTAGTTTAAGTTAAAGTAAGAATTTAACAGCACTTGCTGTTTAGGACATCCAGGTAATATAATTGCCGAAAGAATAGAGTTGTTACCACAGAGTAACATTCAAAGAAAAGAAGGAGGATCAATGAAGACGAATAATGTTCGATAGGAAGGAGCAAACAACACCAGGGCACCAGGCTCGAAGCCAAACTCCCACGGAGTTGGTTACGGGTTTTGTGTGTGTGTGTGTGTGTGTGTGTGTGTGT